GTATGGTTCCAACTATATGATAATCTGGAAAAGGCAACACTATGGAGACAGTAAAAAGATCAGGGTTGGGAGGGGGAGAGAAAGGAATAGGCAGAGCACAGAGGAAGTCTAGAAGGTGAATCTCTTCTGTATGCTACTGTAATGGTGGACACCTGCCATACAGTTGTCAAAACCCACAGAATAAAACACGAACAGTGAATCCTAATATAAATTGTGGACTTCAGTTAATAATAATATGCTAGGGCTGGGCGCGGTGGCTCACGCCTGTAATCCTAGCACTCTGGGAGGCCAAGGAGGGCGGATTGCTAGAGGTCAGGAGTTCAATACCAGCGTGAGCAACAGCAAGACCCCGTCTCTACTATAAATAGAAAGAAATTAATTGGCCAACTAATATATATAGAAAAAATTAGCCGGGCATGGTAGCACATGCCTGTTGTCCCAGCTACTCAGGAGGCTGAGGCAGCAGGATCGCTTGAGCCCAGGAGTTTGAGGTTGCTGTGAGCTAGGCTGACGCCACAGCACTCACTCTAGCCTGGGCAACAAAGCGAGATTCTGTCTCAAAAATAATAATAATAATAATATGCTAATATTGGCTCATCAATTGTAACAATGCACCATAATAATGCAGTATGTTAATAATAAAGGAGGTATATGGGAACTTTCTGTACTTGCTGTTCAATTTTTCCTTAAAACTAAAACTGCTCTAAAAAATAAAATATAAAATATGTCCCAGGAAAAAAATCTTTCTCTCGTTTTATGCCATTACATTCTCAAGACATCTAGAGATCTATATTTTTTACCAGTTCCCAATGCTTTGTTTTTTTAAAAGCTGCCTTTTTATTGTGTAGTTATCTGCTGGCAGACTATACTTCATTTCCTTTCCCCTAAGTGAAAGGAGATAATATTTAATGCTGATTCCATGGAGACTTATGAGAAAGTCAATTCTATGAAATAAAAATATTTCTGAATGAATTTATAACAAACTGAGAGGAGAATGGATTGGAAATTCACACTTAATAATATCATTCTTAGAGAATTTGGTCTGAATAAATCCAATCTTGGCAGGTAGCCGTTAAGGGTTTTTGAATGGGCATATCTTAAGAGATGTTCTATCTCTTTGGTGGGATAAAGGTGAGAGAAAAGAACTTAATAGAATGATTTTTTTAAATAAATTTTCATTTAATATAGTTTTGGAAATACTGTCTCAAGATAATTCTGGAAATAGAATTGGACCGCTGCTCAGATTTCTGGTTGTAGTCAGCTTAGTTTTATAACGTGTCAAATTGATGGTTATATGGAAGTCTCTATTTATAATAGTACAGTCATTTTTATAGCACTTTTAATTTGCAAAGGTGCTTTTCATATATTATCTAATTTGATATTCACAATCATCCTGGGAAAATTGTAGAACAGATGGTAACCATGAAATAAATAACCACAATAGTACTTGCTTAAGTTTTCTTCTCTCTAGTTTCTTTCTCATAATCATGATTTTTGGTAGGTGGGTCTGCTGTCCTTAGAAACCAAACCAAGATAGATGATCATGCCTATTCCCCAAACCATCAAAAATAAATTCTCTAATAATTCTCAATGCAAGATCATTATAAAGATTTCTTAAAATGAATGTATCTTGTTTGATTCCTTACTTCTCTCTTTGGTAAAAATAAATTCTGCATATCAAATGCTTGAATGAAAAAAACCTCTTGTCTCTCATAGATTATAACCAGAGATGAAAATAATATTCAATATAAATAAAAATAAATACATAATCAGAAACAGACATCTCCAAAATGTCGATTCCTTTACCAGGCGTTGTTACCCTCTTTTGTACTGTTTTCTGTTTTGAACAAGAATAGAAACATACATCATTGTGTGTGTGTCCACCTACATGTATGTTCTCCACTTTGGGGGCGTCTCTCCTTGAGTCAGTGGCTCCAGAAAAGATAGAAAAGCATTTTTGGTTAACCTTCCCTATAGGATGCTGAGAGCCTGCACACTCAGAGTCATTTCAGGAAGCTTTATTGGGCAATATATTTTCTGTTTTGGTTGGTATGTGGAATCGTTGTCAGAATTCTGTGGACATGATCGATGCCTACAGAGGTGGGGGAGACCGCTAATCCTCACGTGCCTTCAGATTTGGTACTTCAAAGGGAAATTCAACCTGTGTCTCTCAAGGTGGGACTTTCTGAGATTACAATTGTTTTTGTTTGGAGTTAGGCGCAGAACTACATAGAAATGGAGTAGAAATCCCCTGATTTTGGTCTTGGCTATCTGAGTTTTCTGTTTTTCTGGTCAACTATAGGGAGTGTGCTCATTCTTATACTTCAGACCTTTTAGTTCACAATTGTACCTACACATTAGAAGTCCAGCTATTTTTTAATACAAAATATTTGCAATTAACAGTGTCATGTTATATAAATATCAATCTTACTTTTTGTTCCCTCCTGACCTATTTCCTATGGAGAGAAAAAATGTTGGTTCATCACCTCCTCTTTTTAGGCATATCAACTTACTTATAATCATCCACGAGTAAAAATATTAAAATACCCTAACTGCATTACAATTTAATTTTTTGTTAACAAAGCAAAATGTTTGGTGGTATATTAAAATCATGAAAATACTTTGTTTTACCATAATCGGTTGCCTATTTCTGGTACATTTACTTTGGCAAGCATCTCTTTAAATACTGGAGGACATTCTATCCCACCTTCCTTCCAAAAAGGCTGGAATCGCTCAGGGCCATCCTGGGCTGCAGGGCTGGGTGGTGCATCCTCTCACCACCCTGGCCCACCCTGGCAGCCACCACCACTTCTTCTAGAGAAAGCTGTTGGTCTTTGAAAGGAAACTCCTCTAAGCTAGCAATTGTGTTTGTGTGAGCAGGAGGATGGGAAACCCCTGGGGGATGCCACCAAGCAATCATCGCAGTTTCTACTCTAAGGATGCTGAGAGGCCAGTGGAGGAGAAAGACACACCCCCACTCTCTCCAATACAACAGTGATCACCATCATCACTTCCAAAATGATGTCAACACCCAGCAGGGAGGAGGAAATGATTCTCTTTGACCTAGGTGGGATGGAGTGAAGGTGGCATTTTTGTCTTCAAGATTTGTATATTCCCTTCTTGATAAGTGAAATTGGTGCTAGATGTATGAATAAATTCCTAAGAAGCAAGAATGCGGCTCTCCAATTATACATTCCCTAGCGAATGATACTGAGAAAGATTTCCTTAGATAAGGGGGGGAAACTCTGAGATATAAATAAAGAAAAGTGCATGCAACATGGTTTTATAGATTTCAGCCACCCCTCCTTTGATTTTATTTTTCCTGCAGCAGCATGTATGTCCAGTGGGAAGCTCTTTTTTCCTGCAGCCTCGCTGAGGATGATGGAAGCTTCCCAGTGTGCCTCAGTGGCTTCTGTCTGGAGCCTTACGTATCTGCCCATCTCCCTGCCCCTCTCTACAACTCTTGCCTGGGATTGAGTTGCCACTGCGGGAAATAGGAAAGGTAAATTCTTGTTACCGGTGTTGCTGTTACATTTCGACTTAACTGATACCATTACTAATATTCTATACCAGGCGTCCTCAAACTATGGCCCGTAAGCCACATGCGGCCCATCGAGGATATTTATCTGGCCCACTGGGTGTTTTTGCCTTCCAATTGGCCCTCCAATGGTCTGAGGGACAGTGAACTGGCCCCCTGTTTAAAAAGTTTGAGGACCCCTGTTCTACACCATCAGCTGTGGCATTGAAATGCTGTTTAGGAGTCTACAGCTCTTTGATGTCACTCAGCCCAATTCCTGAAAGGACTGAGCAGCTGCACACCAGGGGTAGTCCTCCCAAACTGCAAGAAGCAGCATGTAGGCTTTTGGAAGGTGGGGTGATGTTTGTCTCTTTATGTTAGAAAATGAAGAGTAATTTAGCTTGTCCCATTGTCCTGATCTGAGAGACGAATTTGCCCCAGTAGTACTAGCGATCATTTATAAAAATGGATGCAAGTCTATATTTATGCCAATTCCCTCTAGAATTAACCCCGTCCAGTCTTTATTCAGAAAATACTATCAAGAAAATGGATAACATAAAGGAAAGAGAGGGAGTTTGAGTCACAGTATCTGCCTTTAAATTAAAATCTTTCTCTGAAAGAGAAAGCACTTATTCTGTGCCACTCCAGAGAACCAAACTTCAATGCAAGGGATTCTCTCTAAAAAGTAAAGTTGCTATTAAATAAAAATGAGAGTGGATTCCCTACTGCTAGAGGTATCATGCTGCCATTCTCTGTCTACCCAGAATAATGGATGATAGAGGGCACTCATACTTGAGTTAGGTTAGGATATTGGAGAAGACAGTATCTGAGGTCACTTCCAATTTTGGGATCCTGTGATGCTATAGAAAAGTAACCACGGGTATAATGAACTCTGGATAGAATAAATTAAAAACAAGATAATAAATTTCCTCAGACAAGGGGTTAGACAAGGCAAACAAAGGATATGGAACCAGTGTAATTTCAAGTAATGGTTCTTACCAAATAAGGAGCAGGTTGAGTAGGAAGAATTATGGAGTGGTGTTTTATTGACATTTGTTCCTTCCCTGAAAGTTGTATTAGGTGGATGAAAGGAAGTAAGAAACTGGGCAGCTGCAGAATCTTCCCTTCCATCAATTTCCCTGAGTATGGTCTACATGGAAAGGCATGTGTGCACCCATACATTTAAAGTGACTAGTGCCCTGAGTCACACCAATTAGTTGGCTCATTTAATGGTTAATTTGCTTTTGAAAACTTACATAAGAACCCTCTAAAAGACACTGGAAATAATAAATCATACACACTTGAGATAAGTGCCTTTAAGCTGTAATTATTTGCCCCATATCTGGAAAATATTATAAATCTCTTCTTTCTCCCCCAGTAAGAGGGAAACTATAGGAAGATTTTGTGAGCATATCCAGATAAAAGGCCCTGTATAGTCACTTATGCACTCTTCTCTGTAACATTAGAGGGAATTCAGGGGTTTGTACCTGCAGAGCTGTTGTTGCCAGGGAAACAGAGGTCCTCATCACAATTCAATTGAATTACCTCCTGGTGTTCCAGATACTAGGTCTTTTCATTGGTCCACAGCATATGTGAATCTACATGGAAGAAAGTTATTTTCTGCTTATGCATCTATTGCACAAACAGCTTTGGCACCTGGGTCCAGACAGAAGACTCTACCTGGTTACCTGATTTGTGGATGTCAAGAGAGAAAGCAAACCCAGAGGGTAAGCTATTCCAACCTTCATGAAGAGCAGGATGTGAAGGAGCACCCCCTACTGAGTGTCTTCCTATAAGGAATTCTCCAGAGACCAAGGAGCTTTACCATTTGTTTCAGGTCAGTATGCATTTCATCTTCTAGGAGGGCATTATCTTTTTTTTTTTTTTTTCGGCATATTATGGGGGTACAGATTTTAAGGTTTCAATAAATGCCCATTTCCCCCCTTCCCCCACAAGTCTGAGTCTCCAGCATGACCATCCCCCAGATGGTGCACATCTCACTCATTATATATGTTATACCCACCCCTCCCCTGCCCAATACCCTATTACTGTAGTACCTATGTGACCACTTAGGTGCTGTTCAGTTAATACCAATTTGCTGGTGAGTATATGTGGTGCTTGTTTTTTCATTCTTGGGAAACTCACTTTAATAGTATGGTTCCAGTCTAACCAGGAAAATATAAGATGTTGCTTATCACCATTGTTTCTTAGAGCTGAATAGTATCCCATGTATACATATACCATATTTTATTAATCCATTCTTTGATTGATGGGCACTTGGGCTGTTTCCACAGCCTTGCAATTATGAATTGTGCTGCTATAAACATTCGAGTGCAGGTGTCTTTTTTGTAGAGTATCATTGGATCTTGGGTAGATGCCAGCAATGGGATTGCTGGATCAAATGGTAGATTCACTTGTATCCTTTAAGGTATCTCCATATTGCTTTCCACAGGGTTGAACTAATTTGCAGTCCCACCAACAGTGTAGGAGTATAGAATTTTTTATTTCCATCTTGATTTCTTCATTTATGAAGTAATCATTTAGTAGGAGGTTGTTTAATTTCCATGTTTTTGTGTAGAAATGTGAGTTTCTGTTAGGGTTGATTTCTACTTTTATTCCACTGTGATCTGAAAAAGTACATGGTATGATTTCTATTTTTTTAAATTTCTTGAGATTTACTTTGTGTCCTAGGATATGGTCAATCTTAGAGAATGTCCCGTGAGCTGATGAGAAGAACGTATATTCAGTGGATTTTGGGTAGAATGTCCTGTAGATGTCAGTCAGACCCAGTTGTTCCAGGGTTTTGTTTAAGTCCATTATTTCTTTATTAATTTTCTGTTTGGAGGATCTGTCTTGCGCCGTCAGTGGGGTATTGAAATCTCCAGTGATTATGGAGTTGCTATTAATCCATTTGCTTAGATCCAGTAAGGTTTGCTTTATGAAACTCGGTGCACCTAAGTTGGGTGCATATATTTTTAAAATTATTATCTCTTCTTGTTGGACTGTGCCCTTCACCATATATTAATGACCTCTTTGTCTTTCACTACTTTTTTGGTTTAAAAACTAAATCGTCTGAAATTAGAACTGCCACATCAGCCTTCTTTTGGCTTCCACTTGCCTGGAATACTGATCTCCACCCTTTTACTTTTAGTCTATATGCATCCTTGCAGGTTAGATGTGTTTCCTGAAGACAGCATATACTTGGCCTGTATTTTCTTATCCATTCAGCCAGCCTATGTCTCTTGAGTGGAGAGTTTAAGCCATTACATTTATTGGAGAACTGATAGGTTAGGGTAGATTACTGTTCTTCTGTTGGTTGGATGTTGTTGCTTTGATTTCTCTCTTGAGCCATTGTATTATCTGGCCTTTAATCTTTGGGTTTTGGTTGTTTTTATTTATATTCGTGAGTTTTTATTATGGTGTTCCATGCGTAACACTGTTTTGAGTACTTCTTGTAGGGCTGGTCTTGTCTTGGTGAATTCTCTGAGACTTTGCTTGTCTGAGAATGTCTTTATTTCTCCTTCATATATGAAGCTTAGTTTTGCAGGAAATAAGATTCTAGGGTGGGCATTGTTTTGTTTCAGAAGAGTGAGAATGGGGTCCCAGTCTCTCCTGGCTTGTAAAGTCTCATTAGAGAAGTCTGGTGTATTCAAATGGCTTCCCTTGTATGTCACTTGCTTCTTTCATCTTACAGCTCTTAGAAGGCCTCTTAGTTGATATTTTGGTCAGTCTGATGACTGCATGTTGTGACGTCTTCCTGTTTGCATTGATCTCTCAGGGTCCTCTGAGCTTCTTAACTTTGTTATCGAGATTTTGAGCACGGCCTGGGAAATTTTCCTCTATTATATCTTCAAATAGCTTGTCCAACCCTTGTGTGTTGTCCTCTTCCCTTTCTGGTAACCCTATGACCCTCACATTAGGTTTCTTCACATAATCCATCTCTTGTAGGCTTGCTCTTTTCTCTTGTTTCTCTGCTCTATCTCTGTGATGGTTTTATTTAGTGAGGGGTGTTATCTTCAAGCTCTGAGATTCTTTCTTCTGTTTGATCTACCCTGTTCTTGAGACTTTTCACTGTATTTGTTAGTTCCCTGAATTGATTCTTCATTTCCAGGAGTTCGGTTAAACTTTTCTTCATTGTGTCTATTTCTTTAGTGAACTTTTGTTCTAGATTTGGAGGCTTTTTGTGGTTTCTTTGTGTGGTTATGAGTTGTTGTTTGCAGGTTGGTGAGTGTTCTTTATGATCCACATACAGAATTCCTCTTCTGTCATTTGGTTGCCTGATTGGGGTTGGTGTCCGTTTCTAGGGGTGGTGTCCTCTTTGGGGTGTGTTTTCCATTTGGTTCTTCATATTCCTGAGTTCTTCGCTGATTTCTTCATCCTGTCATCAGTTTGTTTCTTCCTTTAGGTTTTTGTTTGGTATTCACACACCTTGTTTAGTTTCTGAGCGTTAGGTGTGTCTGTGGGTGAGATTCGACCACTCCCTGTATAATGAGTCAGTGGTGCCGTGAAAGGCTGTCCAGGATGCCGTCCTGTCAGTAGTGGCGCTTGCTTGGAAGGAACAGGCTATGCTGTTTTTTGTGTCTGTATAGCTCTTGTTCTGGGCGGAGCTGGGTTGGGTAAGCCTGCCCTCAGGCACCTCCAATGCCATTAGCAGGGGTCAAAGTTCTGTTCTCTGCTTCCAGAAAAAGCTGTCAGGGCGGGGCTGGAATGGTCCCGCTCAGCCAGAAAGTCTGCTTGTGGGGGTGGGGCTGTCTGAGACCCGCAGTCTGGAGCAGGCCTAGCTTCTTTCCACCCTCCCCAACTCCGCAGCTACTCTTGGGCCTCTGCCAGCAGGCCAGACCACACGCCACCAGGCCTCCCCGGATTGTGATGCCGGCAGGGAGGTTCCCTGCATAGAAACGCTGCCTGGGCTGGGCGCATGGCCTCCCTTTGGTGGGATGGTTGCCCTCTAGGACGCTGATCTGTCCCTGAAGGCACACACACCTCAGCAGGCTGTTCACAAATATCCCTTCTGTGCCCCAGGCAATGCTAGACCTCGGTGCACGGGATCTGGTCTGCAGGTCTGACCTCTGGGTCCCAGAGTTCAAACTGTATCCCCACCAGTGACAGGAGTCCCGGTCCCAATTCACCCACAGGGAGCCCAAGCTGTGTCTGTGTCTCTCAGCCTCTGAGTTTGCACCGTTCTCCTGGGATTACCGTGCCAGCAGCACCTGGGAGGGCTGGCGGGTGGGGAGCTCACAGTCTGAGTTCCCCTTAGTCAGCTGTAGGGTCCCAAAAGGGAAGGTCCCATTCCCTGGAGGTGCCTCTGGCTGGTGGCTGTATTGTCTCTCTGGGCAGCTGAGGGTAGGGTCGGCGGAGGGGAGGAGGAGGCAATATGGCGCCTGCCACATGGCTCGGGTCTGTGCACACGGAGGTGCCCCGAGGGATTTGGGAGACTGGTGCTGCATCCGCTACAGGCTCACCACTAGCTGGCGGCAGCCGTCTCTGGGCTGGTGTCCGCAGGTCTCTCCACCCGCTGGGGAGCCCACCAGCAGTCCCAAATGCAGGGGAGGGGAAAGGTGATTTATCAACCTACCCTTGCCGCTGGTCTCCGGGCTGCTCCGCGGTCTCAGCTTCCAGTTCTCCTCCGCAGCCTCCTCCCGTGGAGTCTCCCGGGGTCTCAGGTACCCCTCCTTCCGGCCCTCGTCTGCTGTATGCTCGCCTTCTTGCTCCTTTTTTCTAATTTCTGCTAGAATCTGTCTTTTCGCAGAGACACTCTTTCTGGCGGTGTTTCTCGTCGGCCATCTTGATCCTCCTCTCCATTATCTTTTTCTATGACTCAGGAAAATTCAACATGGCCCGCTTCACAGTTAGAATTAACATTCATCTGAATTTACTGGTCTTCAGCTTTTATTAGAAGTTCTTCCAGAAGTAACCTAAATCATTTTTATTATTATTTCAGGTTTCTTTTAACCCAAACAAGTTACCTGAATAATTTCCAGAGAGTATGTGAGCTGATGCAGACTAGAATTGGGCTGTTTTGTGTTTGATAAAAACCCTAATATGATACCACCCCGTTTGTATAATGTTGATTGAGTCTGTATATGTATTGATTCAACAACTGAGCAGGCCAATGTTTCTTGTTAACCAGTGCCCATCAAGGGGCCATCTGCATTCAATTTTCATTTGACTGGTGATAAGTAACCTGACACTATAGAATTCACACTATAGAAGATGATGCAGAAAACATGCTCACATGCTCATCCAAGAAATAACTGAAACGTGGTAATTTCCAAAGTGCTTTCTTTAGGAAGATGAAAAAGTTGTGGTGAGCATTTAATTATGAAGCCTCATGGTATGCACCATTGAGTTTTCTAATGGAAGATCTTGAAGTTCAACTCTCCAGAAAGCTTCATGCCTTTTCTCTATTCTGTCATTATACTTTCCTGTGCACGATGTTAATATTTCCAGATTTTTTACTCTCTGCTTAGCATTTATCTAAGGTATATTTCATACTTTATGGATTACTTCTAAACTAGTCTCCTGAGAGTTCTGATTTTCACTAATTATTCCCATTAACTTACCATCTCAGTTGCAAAGAATATTCCAAAACGTTCTTTAAGCTTTTCCCTGATAATTTCTTGCTTGAAAATAGCATTGTCTTGAATGAAATTCATTTTTCTTCATCAGGTCTAGAAGAGACATTTACCTTTTCTGATATCTAATTCAGGTTTAGTTGGGTTGCAGTGGTTCATATAATCAAGGATTTCTGAATGCTCCTCTCCTCTGAATATTTATCCCTTGTTCTTGTAGCTGGGGCTGTCAGGTCATTTAGCAACTCCAAAATGATTGTTTAAA